CGAACAATTCGACTGTTTCATTAGAAACTTGTGATGAATTATTACAAGATAATCATTCAAATGAATATAATGATAATCATTCAGAGAAAATAATTGACAATTGTACGAAAGATTTATCAAAAGATGAAACTACAACCACCATTGATTTTGAAGAATTCGAAAAATTAGAAACGTCTGACATTTGTCAAAACAACACCGATGACAAAATTTCGTTGAATTTTTCTCTCGATTCTGAATTAAACAAATTTATTTCCGAAGATGAAGATGATGAAGAGGAAGAAGATGAAGAAGATGAAGAAGATGAAGACAATTTGATAAAACAAGAAAATATTGCAGAAGCTGGTAAACAATTGGAACAATTGGCATCGATGTTATTCGAAAATTCAAACGAAACTCGTTTGGAAACTTTTGACGATATGTTGTATTATTTAAATTCAGAAGATGCAATTAACATTATGAATATAAAAAAAGAACAACAGGATGAATTAATTAATAACAATAATGAGGATTATTTATCGATGAAACGTTTTGACGATGAACGTGTTAAAAATGAACAAGAAGAATTGTTGGAATATTTTGATGCATTGGACATTGACGAATACAACGATGAAATCATTTCAAATGATGAAAATCATCGTAAAAATATAAATAAAAATGAAGATGAACAAAATGATGAATTAATTGATAAACAAATAGGAAAGATTGAAGATCAGGATAAAACATTAGCCACTTTATTGGATACAACTTGTTACAATGATGAATTAATTTCACAAAATAATGAAAATGATCAGAAAATAATACATAAAAAGGTAGATGAACAAAATGATGAATTAATTGATAAAAAATTAAAGACAATAGATCATGCTAAAGCATTAGCCACTTTATTGGATTCGACGCGTTATCAATCGGAAGAGGAAGTTCGTGAAATTGGTGAGAAAATCATCGAACGAAAGAGAAAAATCGAAAATTCGAAGGAAGAATCTTTGATGGATTTGGCTGATGAATTTCGTCAATTTGAAGAATTGTTGATGGAACATAAAGCAATTGTTGAAATTGAAGATTTTGACAATTTCCAATTGGATGAAATGGAAGAAGAATTGAATGAAAAATCACCGTTCATTGAAATGCCATTGACGAAAGATGAAGTTACTGAAAATTATAAAATTAAAATTATGGAAAAAGATTTGAAAGATCAAATGATTGATTTGAACAAACGATTTTCTAATCATTTGGAGATCATTGATGAAGAGGAAAATGAATTGCATGATTTCAATATTAAAAATGATTTGATGAACAATGTTTCGATTGTATTGAATGAAAATTGTGACGATGAAAGAGAAGAAAAATCAATTGTTCAATTTGTCAAAGAAAATTTCATTGCTGACATTGAATGTAAATTAAATTCTATGATCGATGATAATGATTCAAAGTTGATGATTCAAAATGAAGATAATAATGATGATGATGATTGTAAAAAAGATGAGACGATGATTGAATGTCAAAGTGACGTTTCAAAAGTTGCAAATGAAGAATCAAATGAAATTTCAAATGAAATTCAAACAAATGTACAATCATCTGATTTAGAATTGAAAGAATCTATTGAAACAAACATAATTGAAATTTCGTCATCAACTGATGAGAAAATTGACGTAAAAATTGATGACACCTATGAATCACTTTTGGCTGATTTGGCAGAAAAAGAAAACAGGCCATTCATTAAAGGAAAGGTTTATGATTATGATGAAAAAAAACATGGAATAAGGTTACAAATATTATTGTATAGTTAAAAAAAAAAAAAACATATTATTTATGGTTGTTACAGTTTGATAAATGACATTTTTCATTTTTAGAATGACGGAACAATTTATTAAAAAACATTGTAGGGAACATAAACTTTATCAGACCCCATGGTTGAACGATGTTTTATATTTGCATTACAAAGGTGAATTTTAATTCAATAAAAATCACCATTAATAGAAACAACGTTTCTATTGTTATGTGTTGAATTTTTACAAATATTATCAATTGTAAAGTTAATTTTGAAGAAATTGTTTGTGAAATTATGATAATTAAAAAATTAATTTAATTTGTGAATGTTTGAAACTTCAGGGGTGGTTTCACATTCATCAAAAATTGGGAACAAATATAAACCAATTTGAAATGACAAATATTCAATTAATATTTTAATCAATTATAAATAAATGTAATTATTGAACATTTGAACCTTTAGGTTTCACTTTTATCGAAAATTTGGAAAAATACACTGGTTTAAAAACACTTTGGTTGGAAAGTAATGGAATCAAAGAAATTGCAAATCTTGAGAATCAAAGTGAATTGAGATCTTTGTACCTACATCACAATATTATCAGTAAAATTGAAAATTTGGAATATTTGACGAAATTGGATACATTAAATCTATCTTACAATATGATTAGAAAAATTGAGAATCTTGGTAAATCATGAAGAATTTATTTATAAATAATATTATTGTTTATTAATACACATCGTTTTCAGATAGTTTGAAGTACCTGAACACGTTGAATTTATCTCACAATTTTTTACAATGTAACACTGATATCGAACATTTACGATATTTGGATTATCTTTCGATATTGGATCTTTCTCATAATCGTATCGATACATTCGATATTGTTGATGTAAGTTGATTATTTAAACAAAAAGAAAAGAAAAGAAAAGAAATGGCATAAGTTTGTTTCAGTACTGTCAATACTGTCAGTAATGTCAGTCATTATTTAATATTTATTATGAAAAGATTTGTTTGACAGATTGTGGGTGATATGAAATCATTAAGAGTATTAACTCTAACGGGTAATCCAGTTTTAAAAGAAATCAAAATGTATAGAAAAACGATGATATTGAAGTGTAAAAATCTACAATATTTGGATGACAGGCCAGTATTTCCACGTGATCGTGCATGTGCTGAAGCATGGTAATTATTTTATAAATAATTTAATTGTTATCATTAAAAATAATCATAAATGAGAAATAGAGTGTGTAGATATAAATAATTGTGTTTTTATTTATTTAATTTTTTTTGTATTTAGGATGCGTGGTGGTCCAGAGGAAGAAGCTGCTGAAAGAAAACGATGGATTGAAGCTGAACAGAAAAAAATTAATGACAGTGTTATGGGTTTGTATTTTAATATTGTTATGGTATCGTATATTAAGTAGTTTGTATTTTATTTTGTTATCATGGTTGAGTCAAGGTTTTGTCAGAGTTTTGTCAGGGTTTTGTCAAGGTTTTGTTAGGGTTCAGTCAGGGTTTGTCAGCGTTTCGTCATATTTTAGTATTGGTATGGTATCGTATATTAGGTACTTTGTATTTTATTTTGTTATCAGAGTTTTGTCAAGATTTCGTCAGGGTTTTGTCAGGGTTTTGTTAGGATTGAGTCAAGGTTTGTCAGTGTTTCATCAGGGTTATATATAGTATTTTGTTATATTTAAAAGAAAAAATTGGTAATCAAACTTTGCATATGAGTTTGTTCCTATAATATGTTGCATGAGAGTTTTGTCAGGGTTGCGTCAGGTTTGTGTCATCCTTTTATCAGTGTTATATATTTATTTTTATATATAGGTCTTTTGTTTTTATATATTTTTTTTATATTTAAAAGAAAAATTTAGTAATTGAACTTTGCACATAACTTTGTTCCTATAATATATTGCATCAGAGTTTTGTCAGGGTTGCGTCAGGTTTGTGTCATCCTTTTATCAGTGTGATATATATTTATATATATAGGTTTTTTGTTTTTATATATTTTTTTTATATTTAAAAGAAAAAATTAGTAATTAAACCTTGCTTATAACTTTGTATCTACAATACGTTGCATAATGGTTTTCTCAAGGTTTTGTCAAGATTGTGTTGGGTTGAGTCAGGGTCTAATATCATTTTTGCAACCAAAAAATAATATTACACTTCAAACTATTATTCAAATGATTTAATATACACACACATATACACATTTATATGTTTTACCAGAAAACTAAAATGTTTTATCAAGAAATCATTTTCTAATTCCATAACAATATTGGTCCTAAATAAATTTGGGTTGAAAAAAGAAAAAAAGAAATAAATAAACAATTTGCAAAATATGTTGTAACATACTAGAAAAAAACAAGCAATGGAATTGATTGAATCTTTGTTTACTTTTGTGTTGTCGTTGAACGTGAACCTCTATTCGCGATCCGCCCTCGAAAGAGTTGATAAACAAAAGAAAGCTTCGCAAACCGGTCGTCGTGAGGACCGAAAGGGAAGCGAAGGAAACTAATAAGAATAAAATGGAGAAACAGGACGTCGAAGAAGAAGTCGACAGGGTGAAGGAGAAGATGAAGGAGGAGGAGAAGAAGGAGGTTGAGAAGAAGAAGTCGCTGATGCGTACGAGCAAGGAACTGGTAAGAACTCGTTTCGTCCAAGGTCTGATACAGAATTCGTGCTTCGAATAAGATCATCATGCTTCATGGTGCCCCATAGCTAGGGACTATTATATCCATCATTCGTTTGTGTAAATTTTCTTACTTGTATTTCACTTTATCGTAGTAGCAGTGGGTAAAAGGTGGAGGATGTGGGGAGGAGATTAATCAAAGTTTCTTCTTTTAATTTTGTTTGTTTATATTTTGTTGTTGATAAAAATTACTATCAATTTTATTTAATAACATTATTAATAATTTTAATTTATTATATAGGGTGAAGGGTGAGGTAGGAGATTAATCAAAGTTTCTTCTTTTAATTTTGTTTGTTTTTATTTTGTTGTTAATAAAAATTATTATCAATTTTATTTAATAACATTATTAATAATTTAATTTATTATACAGGATTTGTAGGTTAATTAACGATATAATTGATATGAAAAAAAGAATAATAATTAAAAGTTATATAATTACATTAATATATAATATTATAAAGATAATATTTTTAATTGTATGACAAATATCAAACTATATATATATATATATAATTATATTACGATGTTTATGTTATGGTTGTATGTATATGTGTATGTCTATGTTATGTTTTTATGGTGTGCCCTTTTCTCTTGGGACGAAGCTTAAGTTGGAAGGGAAGAAAAAGTCTTCGTTCTCTTCGTACTCCACCTCCTTTTCTTCATCTTCATCCTCATCATCGTCATCGTCATCGTCATCCTCTTCTTCTTCTTCTTCTTCTTCTCCCACTTGTTCCGATGTCGAGTTGGAAAACGACGAAGAAAATAAACACCATCGACAAAAAGTAATCGAGGAAAGTGACGGAAACAGACCACCATTGGCTGAGGATGAGAAAAAACCATCAGCACGTAATCCTTGCTCACCTGGGAAAACTCGAGTAACTTGAAATTACCTTTTTGATTTGTTTGTTTGTTTGTTCTTTTTTTTTTTCGTTCAATTATTTGCATCATTTTTATGCAACAATATAAAACAAGTTTATTTTCAAAGGTCACCTAAGTACATTTTATTATTTCGTTTGTTTGTTTGTTTGTTGTTGACTGCAGTTGAAATTAATTGTCATTTTATATAAAAAAAAAATATTTTATAAAAATATAAACTCAGAAACTGTAAAAGGTATTTATAATTTTCTGAAAAAATTAATCTTTCAATTTTATAAACTAATTTTATTTTTTGTTCCATTATCTAAGTTTTTAGGTTAGAAATTTTTGTAATTGGAAAAGAACAATTTTTTTTTTTTTTAAATACATCTTGAAATTTTTCTAGAATTTTATTAAAAACTTCTAATATTGTCATTTAAAAAACAATTTTACTTTTTATTTCAATGTCTAAGTTTTTAGGTTAGAAATTTTGGTAATTGGAAAAGAAACAATTTTTTATTTACAAATAATTCTTGAAATTTTTCTCGAATTTAATAAAATTTTCATTGAAAAAACAAACAAACATACATTACTTTCTGTAAAAAAAAATATATTGATCATTTGACTTTGTTTTTAAGATAATCGATGATCACCACCAGGATCAAGAAACAAATTTGAAAGAAGAAATAATTGTTCAATCGAAAACTTACGTTCCTGGTGATGCTGAAAGAAAAAGATTAGCCAAAGAAATTTTAAATGAACGTCAAACTTTGGAGGATCCATTAAGTGATCATGTTTTATGCAGAGAAATCATTGATTATGAAAAACTGAATCTTAAAACAACGCTAGTCAATGAAGAAACTGTCAAAACTGAAGTTAAACACAATGATGGTGAGTTAGTTATTAAATCATTCTACTAATAATTATGCTAGTTTTTTTATTTATTTAATTATATTTACGAAATGTTGTAACAAAATTTAACACAATTCATATTTTTAATATATTGTTATAAATAATATACTTACCACTCTTGCATAAATATTCACATTTAAAAAAATTAATTTTAATTTGTCTTTTTGATTAGAATCAAATTTGTTTAAAATTTATTTCAACTATGAACAAATATCAATTGTTTAAACATTGTATTATTGTTTTTTTTGTAGAAAATGAAGAATATCAAACAAATTTATCGATTGCCAGTACATCGTACGATGTTTCAACAATTTCTAACGTGACAAATTATAAAAAAAAAGATGATCAAAATGAATTGACAAGTAAATTAAGTAACATTCGTCAAAGTATGAAAGATTTTTGTATTAACGTTGACAAATTTGTTGAAGATAACAATATAATAATACAAAATGAAAATTTTGTTCAAGATTACGCAAAAGAAAATAATGTAAATCGTCAAATATACGAAGAACACATGATTGTTAATAATGAAATTGATAATAAGACAAATGACAAAACAATCATAGAAAATATTTCTAACGATGATATTGAAAATAATTCGTCAAATTTTGAAAAAGTTTATGATTTGTTAACGTTGAAAGATTGTCCTAAAATAAAATTGTACGATTCGAATGATCGCAATAAAACAACTAATGAACAAAATAAAATACAAAATGAAATAAATTTATTGGAAAAAACTAACATTGATCATTTTTCCAATGATGAAAATAAAGACAAACATTTGATAAGAGAAATAGAAAAGAAATATAATCGAAATGAATCATTTGTGTTTAACGACGATTCTATTTCTAATGATGCGAGATCAAAGATTTTTACCGACGCAAAATGGAAAAATAAAACAACATTTACAATTGATAATAATATTGATAATAATAATATTATTGTTGATGATGATGATAACAACGTAAGAATAAAATCACATTACAGGGACATTTGTTTCAACGATGATCTTGGTAAATATGATTTATGCGATATTTCTAATCTAATAAAAAAATCCAACGTGTCTGAAAAGAAGACAAACGAATCGTACAATTACGCTGAACTTTACAAAGATTTTTGCGATCATTTTGATGAATTGAAAAGTAAACAAAAGTATGCAATAACACCAGATTTTATGAGAAGGGAACAAATTGTTGATGATTCGATTCAATTGCAAGAAAGTTCATCGACAAAACCGAAACTTTTCATTGAAGAAATTAACGATGATACTATGCAAACATAATTTAATAATTCTTATGGGAAATTGATGAATTTCTTTGGTTTTTTTTTTTTTTTTTTTTTAACCTTTCACTCGAAATTCTTTTTTTGAATATAATCTTGTGGGTTATTTGTTTTAATTAATTATAATTTCTGTGTTTTTGTTTAATTCGTAATTATTGTTATTTAAAATAATAAATATCGTATATATATAAATGTATATGTGTATATGTGTAATAATTAAATTATTTGCAAATTGTTTTTTATTATTTTAGGAACAAATTTTACTTCACTAAAAAGTGTAAGAATTGAAGTTGCATATGAAAAAAAAAAAAAAAAAATAAAATAAAAGTAATTTAGTTATAGTATTTTTTTTAGTATATAGTTTAATCTTCTTTTTAATAAATATAAATTACGTGTCACGTTGTTTGTCCGCAATAGACTCTTAAACTACTGAACCAATTTTAATAAAATTTTGCACACTGTGTGCAGTTTTTTTTAACTTGAAAGATAGGATAGTTTATATCTCAATTTATAATCGCAATATTTGTTTATTAACAAAGAGTCATGATTAATCTCTGATAAGATTCTAACAGATGGCGGTATTAGGTAATTCGTTGACTATATATAGTTTTGTTTTGTTTTTTTAAGTTTTTAGTTATATATATAGTAATGTAATTATTATAAAAATTACTTACGATAGTTAATTAAATTTGAAATATTTATTACATCACACACACACACACTTTAGCATGCTTCGGATTACATTTTACAATTAAATTCACGAACAAATTGTTTCTTCAGTTTTTGTTTTTTGTTCTCGTATTTTCACCACGTTGACTTCTTCTTCTTCTTCTTCTTCTTGTCTTTCATCTTTTTTGTTTTTATCATTTGCAACGATACCAAACAAAAATTAAAAAAAAAAAAAACAAGAAATTGGTAAATCAGTAAAAAAAAAAAAAAAGGTTAATTTGAAGGTCCCTTTTTCATAATCGTCACCCTTACCCTTCTCACATCCCTTATTTATTTCTGTCTTTATTATAAATTCGATTAAATTACTTTATTAGAAAAAAAAAATAAAATAAAATATAATAAAAATATAAAAATACAAAATTCTGAACAAAAAAAAAATAATATTCAAATTATATTAAATATTATTTTTGTTTTTGTTTTATTAATTAATTTTTATTTTTTTTTGTATCGTAGTATTCTTCCCCTTGCTCTTCTTCTTCTTCTTTTTGGTTTTCTTCATTTTTCGCACACCACGTGCAAATCCAATATGTTGACTAGAGAAAGAAAGATAGAAAGTAAAAAAAAAAAGAGAGAGAGAGAGAGAGAGAAAGTAAATGAATTTAAACACACATTTAAATTTCAGCGTTAATAATTTTGCCGACACACACATTTTCACATCCCCTATTGATTATTATTATAATTATTATTATAATTATTATTATTATTACAATTTCCCTATTTTTTTCTTCTTTTTTTTTTTTTTTTTCGTAATTGTATAAAGAATAAGAAAACAGATTCGCGCAGTTTCATCTCGTAGCATTTTTTTTGTTTTTTTTTTTTATTATTATGCATGTGTGTTGTATATTATTTGTATGTATATGCGTGTGTATGTATGTTAAAACTAATTCTCATAGGATTTTTCAAAAAATATAATAGCATGATTATTGTTGTTGGTTGGTTGTTGTTGCCATAAAAAGCTCAATTATTCGAACAGATATAGAAAGAGAGAATGAGAAAGAGTGTGAGAGAAAGAGAAAGTGAAAGAGAGAGAGAGAAAAAGTTATTGTTATTAAAAAACCGATTATAAAAATTTATCTTCCATTTTTTTTTTTTTTTTTTTTTTAAATCATCTTCCTTATCTTATGTTTTTATTTATACTTTTGGTACTTGAACGAGTTTAAATGTATGCATTATGCATATGTGTGTGTGTTTGTGTGTATAGGGGTTGTGTTGTGTTCATATGCAAGAAGGTTTTTAATATTTTTTGTTATATCCTTTTTTTTCTACCTGAAATTTTCAGGTTCATAGGGTGTTTTCTTTTTCATTCTCCACTTTCTCCAGCCTTTCTCATTTTTTTTTAAATTATTTTTTTTTTTTTTTGTTCAGGAGTTCGAGTTCAGAAATTTACCACGCGTTTTTTTTTATTTCTTTTTTTTTTTTTTACGTTCGTCATATTTTTTTCTCTCTCTCTTTTGCATTAATTAATTCAATTTTTATTTGTTTATTTTTGTTGTTGTTGTAATTTGTATTATTATTATTTTTTTTTTCAAACACGTAAAAAATTTCATAAATAAAATTTGAGTATATTTTGTGAAATAAAATAATCCTAAATCAAACGAAGTTTCTTCTTCTTCTTCATCTTCATCTTCATCATCTTCATCTTCTTATTTCGTTTCTATTTTTTTTTGTTTTTTTTTTTAAACAATTTTTTTTATCATAGAAATATAAACATATAATATTAATAATAAATAACAAAAATAAAATGTTCCTAATTAATTACTAAACGATGATATTATATACCTGATTATTAAACTTATTGTTATTAATAATTATAATTGTTTAAACTATGATTCTCTCAATGATCGGTGCAAGAAAAAAGAAAAAAGAACAAAAAGAACAGAAATAAAATAAAACAAAAATCAATCCACCTCCAAAACGTGAAAATTGCAATTTTTATGTATATTTCAATGTATGTATTTAATTAATACATATATATATATATATATATGTATACACAAGTATACTTCTTATTTTTTTTGTTATATATATATATTACGTAAAATGTTTAAAAAAAAAAAAAAAATAAGATAGACAAACAAACAAATACAAATAATAATAAAAATAACAGACAAGGGAGAAGGGGGTGGTTGAATATTAAATTTTTACAACAAATGATAAATAAATTATCGTATGTATGTATGTATGTATATGCAATGTGTAAAAGAGGAGTTTTTTTTTTTTTTTTTTAGGTTAGGTTAAGATAATATGTAATTTGTATAGGCGTGTGTAAATTTATGTGGCAAGGGGTGGGGGAAACGTGGTTCGCCAAAAAAACGATGATTATTGTTATTTTGTTGTTGTTGTTGTTGGTAATTAATAATGTTGTTGTTGTTGTTGTTGATCCTCCTGTTGTGTTTTAAACAAGTGATCGATTCTTATTAACCTCTTTCTTCTCTTATATACTTATATATTAAATATTAATAATTATAAATTACAATAATCGGTAATATTAATATTATTCATTATCATTAATATTATTATTTTAAATGCATACAATTTTAAACATTTAATTTTCGACAAAAAGTGGATAGTACAGGTGAAGGGAAAGGTGGTGGTAGTGGTAGTGGTGGTAGTGGTGTTTGGTGGTAGTGGTAGTGGTCGAGAAACAGAGAATCGTGAACAGTGTGTGCGTGTAATTATTATTATTATTTTTTTTTTCTTCCTATGTATGTTGGTTTATATGCCAAGAAAGAGATAGAGAGAGATAGGGATAAAGATAGAGAGAAAGAAAGAGAGAGAGAGAGAGTGAGAGAGTGAGATGATTTGACAGATACGAAAGATGATCTACTAATCTACGAGTAAAATAAAAATCGTACAAAATTGAAAATCACGACAATTCAAAACAAAATAATAAAAAGAGAAAGGGAGAGAGAGAGAGAGAGAGAGAGAGAGAGAAGATTATGCAATTTTTTCTTATTCCAACATTTTTTTTTTTTTTTTTCAAAATTCAACCTCTGAATTTTGAAAATTGTGACATTTACAAACAATTCCATCCGTTCCTCTCATTCAAACACTTTTCGTTATTCGAAAAAAAGTATTTCTCTTTTACAAAGAAAAAAGAAAAAAGAAAAAAGAAAAAAGAAAAAATAGAAGAAAAAGTTAAGATTTGTAACGATTAAAACAACAAAATATTGGCGTTTGTTGGGCCCAAATTGGTCACCTCCCTATCCCCCTCCATAATCTCCAAATTATTAACAATGGCGGATATTAACAGTGTTTCGCTGATACACAGATTTTTCTTGTTCTATTCAAAAGCGAAATTTTCGAAATCAGATTTTGAAAAGTTAAGAAAAAAGTCAAGCAGAGAGAGAGAGAGAGAGAGAGAGAGAGAGAGATAGAGAAAGTAAAAAAAGAAAGAAAGAAAGAAATAGATAGATAGATAAAGTTCTATACAAAATAAATAAGGTTAAGTCTATAAAATGAGATTAAAGATGGCGCGTACAAAGTCGGCGTAGCCATTGTTGGTTTACAAAGGCGAATAATCATCAACATTTGGATGATTATGACAATGATAATAATAATAATAATAATAATAATAATAATAATAATAATAATAATAATAATAATAAAAATAATGATGACGATGACGATGACGATGACAATGATAATGATAGTTATTTTGAATGATAATGATAATGATTGATAGATAAAAAGAGAAAGTGAAAGAGAGGAAGAAGAAAGATAGAAAAAGGGTTTATGGTGGTTGGTGGTGTTGGGAGAGGTTAGGTTTATGAGGATTCATTTTCATTGGCCATCTTTGTTTTTGTTCATCACTCGCTGCTCACACTCGTTCACTCGGTTAAGTTCATTTGCAGTTCTTGTTCTTGCTCTTGTTGATTGCTGTTCTTGTTCCTTGTTGGTTCATAACACACACCAGGCCAATATTAGGATGATTATTATTATTATTATAATTATTATTATTATTGTTGTTGCTATTAATAACAATCTTGCAAAGGATTTTCGCGATACGAAGGAAGAGAAGGATTATGGTTGGTGGTAGTGGTGGTGATGGTGGGTAATAAAATGTGTTGATTGATGCGGTGGTGATGGTGGTGGTGGTGGTGGTGGTGGTTTTTGGTACAGGAAACGAAAAATTAGAAAAAAGGC